TTTCTTCTTCGTGTAAATAAAGTCAGCTGATCGAGCAATAATAATGGACGATCAACGGGTCGATAAGCCAACGCGGCACAGATAAATATAGACAGATCTACGGGTTGATGTGAAATTGTATTTTAGATTTTAAACAGTTTAAGGGATATGCTGCGAAGTTTCTTTGTATTCAACCAGAGACATGTGTACGTATGCAGTCTTATAACCCTTATACGTATTAGTTGCCTGATCTTAAATTACATATATGTATAAATATATCAAGTGATTAATTCTGTTATGCCGAAATTAATAACTTAACCAAAACTGCAGAAAAATTATTCGGCTAGTTTTTGTCAGGTGTCCCAGGATTTATGAAAACAGCTGTAATGCAGTAATGATAATATGTAACTTGTAACTTCTACATGATCGACTGGATATATATCAATATTATTATATAAATAAAATGAGCAGTTTTGTATACTATGCGGTAGGGATGTTAAACCGTTTAACTACTTTGAAAATAAAATAAAATATAAATTTAATGTAACAAACTACTAGAACTAGTTCGGTTTATGTAGTAACATCTAACCGGTTTAGCATCCTATTGTGCGGGGATTTTTTATAATAAGGGTCATTGACATGGTTTCGGCCAGAATTCCGAAGCTACACATTAAATTTAATTTCCGTACCTATTTTTAGACTAGATAATCGTTAACAAATATATACTTTTGTTTCGATTTTAGCTAATTGCTATTGTTATTAGCATCGAAAATCAAACACTTAATTTCCTAATCAATGTAAGGCTGTAAACTTATACAATAACGAGCATGATTTTAGATTTTTAACTTCGTAAGTGAACATATGAAAACTGCTTGTAAGTTACATCACAAATTACATCAAAATTTTGAAATTATTGTAGAATCGTCCCAATGCTAAATGCCGCAACTAGATGATTTTTAAATGTGTAACAGAAAATTCCTGATTGTTCTATTTTGGTTCTATGGAACTAAATTTGCACTAACGCTAATCATCGTTTACAGTACTTGTTTTTTTTTGGTGCACAACTGCCTTTTATGCCTTTGGGGATCCCATATGCAAACTAACCTGCGCAAGAATTATTTTGAAGATTTTTATTAAAATGGGCTTTATTTTCAATAATAAAAAATTACTATTAAAACGTTTCCGGAATAATTGTTTACCATATCAGCTGATTTTGATAAGGAAATCCAATCTTCCCAGTAAGGTACGTACCTCATCAGAATATGAAATTAATTATATATAATTGAAGATTCAGATAAGCTATTTGCAGATTAATTTCCAGAGCTGGTAAAATTCCTGACTGTATTACTTTCTATAGTTACGGCAAGTTACGGCAATCATTGGGGTAATTCTATTGCATTGCTAGTACGTATATCGATATACTCAAATAAAATTAAATTAGTATTTATGCATAACGGACAGTCCACATACATAACTAGAAAATTCGGATATCTGATAACAATAAAGGGAACCATCTGTAGGTTGCATGCATTACTAGACATTAATGATATCATGACATGCATTTTAGGAGGGAAACAGAAGTAAAAATAGAAAGCTTTTGAATATGAAACAATATATTATTCAATAATTCTTTGCGTAATAAGAACGGTTTTCCGAGAAGTAGATCTCGTCACGTTAAGCAAGTGCTGTTATAGCTTAAGTTTAATATTGGCATCAACACTTCTTGTCAGATGATTTGTGCTTTGGGGAGAAACTCATTGAATTCGGCTCAAATCAGAATCGAATTGACTCAACTTACTTAAGCCCCTCTCTGTTTTTTAAGGATTCATAAATATAATACACACTATGTCAACCAATCAGTGCATTTGCGTTCTTTTCAGCCAATAAATTATTATTTACCTTAGTTAAAAAAACAAATTTGTCATTTTGTCATTTAAATTCATTTGAGAACACTGCCGTATGTTAACAAGGAATCAAGTTGGTCATGATAACATACAACTATGCAAATGTCATTGTGAACAATTATTTTTATTATGCTAATACAGTAATAAACATTAGTAATTAACATGTAGATGAAATGCGTAATTAATATATATAGATGGAATGCTATTTCCTGAAATGCATGTATGTTCGGACATATTATCCGCATACCGCAGTAATTACTGCTTGGCTCAAGGAATAATAGCGTGTAAATGAATGCTAAAAATTATTTAAGAACATCATTAAAGATAATAGATCAAATCAAAAAAAAAAAAATCGTTAGAAAAAATGATTAAAATCACACAAGAAGACATCTATATTCAATCATTTATCATAGGATTAATTTTAGCAGTAGTTTATTTCCGACTATCGAGACGAGTTAAGCTAGTAAGTTGTTTCCCGTATTAATATTTGTTCATAATTGTGTTATTAATGTGAAGCCAATTTTTTAGAATGAACCACCTCTTGTTCATTATCGAATTCCAATTATCGGACATACATGGAGATTTTTAACAGATTGCGAAAATTTAATTCTCGAATCTCGAAAAAAGGTTCTCTTTCCTTCTTTTAAATAAATAAATACAAATAGACTTCCTTCTTCCATGCTCTAATAATTTTGACATCTTAATAGTATGGGGAGACATTCTCATTATATGTATTTGGCCAAATAATGACCGTAGTCGGAAAGGAATCAACTCATGAAGTATTTAAAAAAGATCAAGAATTTTGTGTTCACGAAGGCGTGAAAATGGTAATTGAAATTTTTTTAACGAATTCAATAGTCCTTTTGATATATTATTATACGTTCTAAACCATTTTTCAATTTAAATAGCAATTACCAATGGATCACATATTTAGTTTTGGCACAACTATTGAGAAAAATCGTAAAGTAGTAAGAGAGTTTATGGTAGGAAAATTAAAACATCTTATGAGTAGATTACAAAAAAATATTGATAAGGCTATGAATCTTTATATTGGTGAATGTGATGGTAAGTTTTTAAATTTCTTAACAGATAAGTTTTTTATGATATTTAAAAAGGAATTTTTATTTATTAGAGCCGAAGGTTATTCGTGATCCATATAAAACTTTGACACAGATTATCGCAATTCCAATTGCTAACATTATCGTTGGTGATGTATGTATAAATAACATTTTTTTTTATGTAGGAATTTCTTGCTACAATATTAACTTTCAATAAAATTAGGAATGTTACGAACATAAGGATCTGTTAGAAACTTTTAGAACATTAACAGATTCAATTGTTAAAGTTTTTATGGCACCACCAATATTAGCTTTTATACATCCTCGGCTTCATCAAGAATTTGTCGCGTAAGTTTATTTTATTTAATTTTACCTTTTGTTTTTAAAAAAAGTAAGAAATCTTTGGAACAATTTAGAATTGGTTACTTCATATTTACTTATTTCTTTATTGACCAATAGAATTCCTTTTAAATTTGGTTGGAATCCGATGTCAAAACATATAAATATAATCATCAATCGTATTAGGCCAGTCATCGAAAAACGTCTTAATGATAAAAAAAGAGATTAGGTGATGCTTGGGTTGCTCCCGTAAGTTGTAAACAAAAAAAAATACAAAATGATTATTATTTCATGAATATTTAAATTACTGACTTTGTTCAATTTTTTAATAGTTAGATGCATTACAATGCTACTTGGACGATCCAGAAATAGCTCCAGATCTCGATCCAAATAATATAAATTATAATTATATTGCTGTAGCGATCGGAAGACTTATTTTTGGTGCTATGGCAACTACATCTGGTGGTGCTACCCGTGCTTTATATGGTTAGTTACATTTTAGTTTTTATTATAAAGTACTTTAACTCTATTTTAAATATGTTTTATTTGAAATTAGATTTGATTGATAAGAAAAAAGAATACTGGCAAGAATTACAACAGGAAGCTCAAGAAATTAACAAACAATGTAATGGAAATGAGCTTACATCTGATGATTTTGCTAAAATGGTGAAATTAGATAGTTTTATTAAAGAATCTTTAAGATTATCTAATAGCATAGTTGGTTTACCACATAAATGTATTTCTGAATCTTATTATACATTTGAGAATGGATATCAAATCCCAAGGGGTAATTTTTTTCACTATTACTATTCTTTAATCTTCAAACCATATTAATTCTAATACCTTTTCCTAATCATTTAAAATCATAGGTCGCATAGCCATTTTAAACATTATTGATACAAATAGAGATGAGGAACTTCAAGGTCAAAACCCTGAAGAATTCTATGCATACCGCCATTTGGAACGTAAATCCTCCGCGACAAAACTCGAACGTAACTTTTTGACATTTGGAGCCGGAAAACATGCGTGTCCGGGTAGAGCTTTAGCTGTTAATGAGATTAAAATGTTTTTACATAAGGTTTTATTGAAATATAACGTTAGAACTGAAACGGGAGAGCGTGTACCTGTTAAATATCTTGGACCTCTTCCTAAACAGACAAAAGTTGGTATTGTTTTTGAGAAGAAAAATGATGATGTAAATTAAAAGTTATGGCGTTATGTGAATCGCAATGTTTTTTCTTTTAATATTCTTTTTGTTTTCTTTTTTTAATCTAGTATTAGTATATATGCTTAAATACAAATCAAATAGATAAAATAAAGTCATAAAATTAACCTAACATAAATTAAATGAAAATCTACATATTGCTTGTGTAAAAAGCATTTTAAAAAAAAATAAGGTTAGACTCGGCTAAGTGCATCGTATTTCACGTTTTGCGGCATCACAAAGACTTGGTGTTAATGGCCATAAAAGATTTTATTTTAATGTTAAATTCGATAAAACGCGATTTTTTTTTTTTTTGATCTTCCGTCTTCGCGTAAATATATAATTGAACTAACAATGCTGCCTTTTGTGAGCATCAAGTAACTATTACATAAAGAATTTCTTTTTCTAGTAGGTTTTGTAGGTGTGGGATAAAAACAAAGTCGGGATAGCAAAAAAGAAATTATTAGGTTTGATAAAAAAACTGTACCCGTTAAATACTATCAACGAAATATTAATCGAGTCGGCCAAAAATCATTCGACTAATTTTTATCAAGTGTCCCAAGAATTATAAAACAGCTATAACAAAATATTTCTCAGTTCCAATCCTAGTACTACCTATATATAAAATTGTCCTTTGATAAACATGTGGGATGTCTCATTGGGTGGCCGATATACAGTACTATTTAAATCAAAAACTACATATTTCATCATATAAAAATGTATTAAATCTTAACGTTAAGTTGCATGGTACATAGTGTTTATACTTGTAATTTATAGATTCCATCTTTAATTAGATGCACAGGTTTGATCAAGAATTCTGAAAAGAAATTTTGAAAGATTGATCTTAAGATCAGAACAACTAAACTACAGAGCGAAATTTACTGATTAATTTAAAAACTCATCCGGCCAAACCAAGCAAAATAATTAAATTAAAATAAAACATTTTTATAACAATCATCTCTGAATCATTGATTATATAGTATATCAACCACCCCAATGTCTCATATTAAAAGGTAAAAAAAATTTTTTTAAAAAATTGTCAAAATGGTCCTTTAATATGAGGCACCCCATATAAGCAATAGCGATGGATAGAATACACTGGCACAGAAATAAATGAGAGAATTACTATTACTCAATGAAAGTTTCTGGGAATATGTAAAAACCATATCGTTATGAAGAGAAATGCCATTATTATTGCTCGATCAGATGACTTTATTTTTTACGAGAAAGAACATATGGGAATTCCGTTCGCTATCATATACAGGTTTTACAGGCTCTATATCAAAATGCTTAAACGATTATACCTCTCTCATCCCAAACAAATCATACAACCTATCACCTATATATGACCACATACAACATCTCATACCAGGAATATAACAAGAAGGAATTTTATAGTTATAAAGAGAATCGGTGGTGTAGGTATTTGATGGTATGAATGTTACTAAGACATAGGTTCTTGCACTGCCTACAGCAGCCGTGAAGTCTAGTCACCGAAATATGAGGTTATTATGCTGCTTACAGCAACCGCGAAGCTTAAACACCAAACAGAAGGTCCTTGCACTACCTACAGCAGCCGCGGAGCTTAAATATCAAACATAAGGTCCTTTACTTCCTACATCAGCCGCAGAGCCTAAATACCAAAGCGAGATTCTTGTGCTGCCTACAGCAGCAGGAGCCTAATTGCCAAATATGAAGTCCTTATTCTGCTAGCGGCAGCCGCAGGGCCTAACAGCACTAACTAATATTTTGATAAACAAGTGCTCTGGTTTCAAAAGTTACCGAGAAATGGGCGGGAGGGGTGGGACGATAGAGTCAGCCTTCACTCCAAGGCGAGCGATAGCGAAAAGAAAGATAATCTTCTCTACTAACAAAGGCTCCTTAAATACATTACTGGTTATATATTCAGAACCATATGATTACCCCTTTTTTCTCTTACCCGTTCTCAACCATATTAACCAGAAAATACTTGTATCTAACAAGACACCATAATACTGTACACAAATATCCATAAGAAGCTAAACGACAAAATGAACATGTGATTCATAAAGTCATCTGATCACATAAAGTCATCTGACTTCGTCACTTCGTTGACAAGCTTCTCAATAACTCGCAATCTACTTAAAAATTCTAAACATTTGTTAGGAAATCAAGGAAGGTTTGCTTGGCATAGAAAAAACGGTTCATTGTAAAAGCTAGCTGTATTCCGACTCTATAGACAAACTATATTTCCAACAATTTCTAACAATTAAATTTGCTAGCTTTTATACCCTTTCACCTTAAAAATATTCATGTACGTACAAAATTTATGAAGATGGAACTTGCCAAAAAAAAAAAAAAACTTATAATGTTGATTATTGTTACAGTATCACCATAGGCTAGAATGAACATAATAAATTTGAATATTCATACAGTGAAATCTCTCTGAAAAGTGTAGTGTTAGTTGTGTGCTGAAACGGATGGGCATAGTGAATTTATTTATCATCAAAAGTCTGCTGAAAGTGGATACGAACCGTTGGGATTGTATTTGAACTCTGCAAACGATGGAATAGGCCCAATGGAGATGAGTGGAAATTCATGCTAACAAAAAATTCTAGAAAAAAAAATATTTGTAGATTAGGTGAGTAAAGGATATAAATATGGTTGATAAGGAAAGGCTGAATCAAACTGATATAAACAATCAAATATAAACTTGTAGTACTCAATAGCAAAGATGATGAGTTGACTTGATAAAAACATTGGTAAATTTAGAGTGGGTGGAGATGCTCATTTGATCAGTGAAAAATTATTGGTAGAGCAAGAGTTTTGTTGGAAAATTTTGTCTTTTGTAGTTGATCAAGTATCTCTAATTTATCTAGTTTGCCAGTTTACGTCTTGCACATAATAAAAGTCATGTATGCTTCGATCTATTAACTACCAAGAATGATGCTTTGTTTATAATTGTTCGTATATTAATTTTTTTTGCATTTTGACTTTTAATTTGATTGGTTAATAATAATTAATATTTTTTGAACAAAATCTAATTTTATGGCATATTTCATATACTGTAACAATCAGGGATTTTTCAAATTGTTTAAAAAATTTCTGATCATTTTATTTGGTTCTATAGGCTAACTTTGCACCAATTATTGTTTGCTAGTTTATTTGGTGCACGACTACCTTTAATGCTTCAGAATTTAACTATATATAAACTAACCTTCACAAGAATTATTTTATTTTATTTTTAACAATAAAAATGATTATTATTAAAATGTATTAAAGATTCAAACATTCTGTTGCAAATCAATTTTTATATCAAGTGAACCCCTGCTAAATACCATTCACATTACACCTAATCTTGTAATTTAATTAGTTCATTTGATCTTATATAAACATGGTAACTATTTGACCTGTATATGCCACTAAACTTTTATAAAACAAGTTACTTCAATAATCAATTCAAAATGTTAACTATTTCAATACAATTTATCTTCCCAAAACTGATTCTATCAAAACTGATAACCTGTTATATCTGATAAAAAATTGTTTCACTATATTTGTTCTATAATTCAAATCTGATAACCTGTTATTTCTGATAACCAATACTCAAATAATCAGATACCTATAAAATATCAGGTTTGTCAGATAATATAAATCAATTTGATAGTTTCAGATTGAGATTTGTATAACCAAGTAGATATATAATAAATATAATCTAGCTAATTATATTTATTTATAATTATGTGACTAGTAAGCTATTACTATCTTAAATTTGATAACCTCTCAAAACTGATACAAACTATTTACTATTCTTATTGGATTTGAGAGGATATACTGTATTTGATTATATTTTTTCAATAAGATAAATATTTTTACTGTAATCATTATTTTAAATTATCATAATGCAAAGATATTGATGTTTTATTCAATCTTTTTTATTTATTTAAATTACTAATAGGCTAATATAAAATAATAAATTTTAATAATTAATTATTACATATCTTATTATCAAAAATATTATTTTAAAAATATGTTAAGTAATTACAAAATACAATATTCAAGTTATCTAATATTATACTAGACAATTTATCTATACTACTAAAATTCTAACGTCTGTCTGTCTATTCAGAATAAAACGAATCTGATTGGTCCATTTTAGTAATGTAATCGATATGATCTACATAATCTGTATATATAGGTAACTGTACTACAGTACATATGTACTACATATGATACAGTTTGGTGCTACATCACATAACATAATATACTTTCTCTATACAATAACTTATCGTTATAAAATATATGCTTTAAAAGATAGTAATTGTTTTTAACCTATATACTAGAAATACTAAAACCCACATACGAAGCACATGTAATTTAGGAAATATTAAAAAAATAATTCAATAGTTGTATATATGTAATTGATTCATATTTACAAAGTGGACGGTTATCTAAAACTATGACTTTTTTTGTGTAATCAACCAACTGGAATTGCAAAATTTTGTTTACACGAATCAGCCTAAAGAACATCTCCAAAGCAAACAATGCTACTCGAATTAACTGTCTATAAACCCACTCTTAAAGTATTGAAACTACTATGTCTATCTTATAATTTCTGATCAAACAATAATGTCTGAATATGGGAGACAGGTTGTTGAGGAGTCATCCATGTAGCTTCAAAGAGAATCAATTATGTAGTCACTCATGAAGTGATAAAGATGTTTCTAAGTTTAACAAATGGGCTTTTGCAGCTACGAAGCCCAAAACCTATCTTACAAAGATCTTTGCATTGCTACTATATCCATGGTGTCTAATTACCACCAAACAAGGTTCTTCACTACTATTGCAACTGTGGAGTCTAATTACTACCAAGCAAGATTCTTATGCTGCTATTTCAGCTGCTAAGCTTGACATTGCTTACCATTACTATTTAATCTATTAAACTAAATATCAATCATTATCTTGGCTGCTAAATTATTGCAAAATAAGTGAAAAATGACCTCTCACTACTAAACAACAAC